CAATTTTTGACTTTCCTAAATTCTCAATTTTTCGATTTTTCAATTAATCGATGTTCTGATTTACCCATTTCTTGATTTTCAACTGTTTCGATTTTCCAGTTTCTCAATTCTTCAATTTTTAGATTTTTGGATATCATGACTTCGATTTCTCGATCATTTGATCTTTTGATTTCTCAATATTTCAATTTTTTAATTTTTCGAATTTTTAAATTTTTAATTTCTAGATTTATCGAGATTTGGATGTTTCAATGTTTTGATTGTCCAATTTTTTTTTATATCAATTCCTCAATTTTTATCTTTTCGATTTTGGCCTATTTCGGTTTCTCAATTTTTCGATTTTTCGATTTCTCGATTTCTGGATTTTTTGATTTTTCGATTCTTTAATTTTCGGATTTTCGGTTTTTCAATTTTCCAGTTTTTCGATGTTTTGATTTTTCAATTATCCGACTTTTCAATTTTTCAATTTTCTAAATTTTAGAGTTTCGATTTTCCGTTTTTCAATTTTTAAATTTTAGATTATCAATTTTTTTGATGCCGAAAATCGAAAAATCGAAAATGAGTAATCAAAAAATCGAAAAATTGAGAAACCTAAACGTCGAGAAATCCAGAAATTGAAAAGTCGAGAAGTCGAAAAATATAGAAAAACAGAAATATCCTAAAATCGAAAAATCCAAAAGTTAAAACATCAAAAATTGAAAATTTAAAACCAAAAAAAAATCTATAAATAGAGAAAGCTGTGAAGTCGAAAAATCGAAACATGAAAAAACTGAAAAAATTAACATTTAAAAATTAGAAAAATAGAAATAGAGATATTGAAGAACCGAAAACTCGAAAAATTGACAATGCAAGAAATCGAAAAATCTAAAATTTAAAAATAAAAATATAGAAAAATTGAAGACTAGAAAATTGAAAAATCGGGAAACCGACAAATCAGAAGATCAAAAACTCGAAAAATTGAGAAATCGAAAAGTTGAAATATCGAAAAATTGGAAAATCGAAAAAAATTGAAGAACCTAAAAACTGAAAACATCAAAAAATTGAGAAATCTAAAAATTGGAAAACTGAAACATCGAGAAATTAAAAAATTCTAAACTAAAATCAGGAAAAATGGAAAAATCTAAAACTTGAAAAGCCGAAAAGTCGAAAAACTGAAAAACCGCGAAATCTAAACATCGAAAATTTGAAAAACTGAAACGTCGAAAAATCGAGAAATTCAAAATTCGAGTAGTCGAAAAATGACGAAAAACAAAAATACCCTAAAATCGAAAAATCCAAAAGTTAAAAATTGAAAAATTGAAAATTTAAAACTAAAAAAAAATCGATAAATAGAGAAAGCTGTGAAGTCGAAAAATCGAAAAATCGGGAAATCGAAACATCAAAAAACTGAAAAATCTCACATTTAAAATTAGAAATAGAAATATTGAAGAACCGAAAAATCAACAATGCGAGAAATCGAAAAATCTAAAATTAAAAAAATTGAAAAATTAAAATATAGAAAAATTGAGGCTGGTAAATTGAAAAATCGGGAAATCGAAACATCAGAATATCCAGAAATCGGAAAATTGAGAAATCGAAAAGTCGAAATATCGAAAAATTGGAAAATCGAATAAAATTGAATAACCTAAAAACTGAAAACATCAAAAAATTGAGAAATTTAAAAATTGGAAAACTAAAAAATTAAAAACTGAAACATCGAGAAATTAAAAAATTCCAAATTGAAATCAGGAAAAATTGAAAAATCTAAAACTTGAAAAGCCGAAAAGTCGAAAAACTGAAAAACCGCGAAATCAAAACATCGAAAAATTGAAAAACTGAAACATCTAAATATCGAGAAATGGAGAATTGGAAAAAATTTAAAAATAAATAAATCGATAAATTGAACAATTCCTAAACTGAAATAACGAAAAATTTGGAAATTGGAAAACTGGAAAAGTGAAAAATAGAAAAGGCGAAAATTGAAAAATAGAAAACAGCGAGAAATCAAAAAATCGAAACATCCAAAAATTGAAGAAACTCTAGAATGGAAAACTCCGAAAGTTAAAAAAAGTTAAAACTAAAAAGACAAAATGAAAAATTTTAAATTTTAAAACTATCGATAAATAGAAAAAGAGAAAAATTGAAAAATTGAAAAACTGAAAAATCAATAATTTTAAAAATCGAAAAATTAAAAATCAAAAAATCAAAAACTGAGAACTCGAAAAATCGGAAGATGGGGAAATGAAAACATAAAAAAATTGAAAAATCTAACATTTAAAAAATAAAATTTAAATACAGAAAAATGGGAGACTTGAAAAATTGAAAAATCGAGAAATCGAGAAAAATTGAAGAATCTAAAAACCGAAAAATTCCAAAGCTAATACATCAAAAAGTTGAGTAGTCTAAAAATTGGAAAATCAAAAACCCGAAACATCGAAAAATTGAAAAATTGGAAAATTGAGGAGTCAAAAAACTAAAAAAATGGATAAACTGAAAATTTCCAAAACGGAAATGATGAAAAATTGGGAAATCAAAAAACTGAAGAACTGAAAAATCGTAAAATCTAATAATTGAAAAGCCGGAAATTCGAAAAATCGAAAAAGCGAGAAATCACAAAATCGGGAAATCAAAAATCGAAACATCCAAAAATTGAAAAACGGAAACATCGAGTAATAAAGAAATTGAAAAGTCGATTTTTGATTCCTCTGTTTTTAAATATTAGATTTTCAAATTTTTCAATTTTTCTGTTTTATGATTTTTTATGTTTTGATTTCTTGACATCTTTATTTTTCGATTTTTAAAATTTTTCGATTATTAGATTTCTCGATTTTTCAGGTTTTCGATTTTTCAAATTTTCGACTATTTTAATATTTCATTTTTTTTTTCTCACTGTTAATATCAAACAATGTATCGAAAATAACCACAAAAATTTGGCACTGAAGACATTTAAAAATCCATACAAAGTAGAAGATAATGTTTCCAAAACATAAAAATAACTACATTTTCCCGAAAAAATCCGTTGGATTATTACGATTTCAACAATATTGTTAATTTAAGACGTTAAGAATTAATTCTTAGTTAAAAAAAAAATAGTTGCATGTCTATATATGTACCAAAAATGTTCACTCATTCATTATAAAATCCGACCTCTATTTTACGCAGAAATTATAGTTCAAATCAACCAAATCGCTTAGAGTCGACACTTGCCTGAACGCGCTCTGGTCTGTAGATCAAACAAGTTCTCAGGCGACGAGATGGTGTCATTTCCATAAAAAAGCAGTTTTCTGTTTCAAATTTAACGAGAGATAACTCCAGAACGGTTCAAGAATTCATTTTGCGGCATAGAGCGTTCGATTTCTTGAAGCTTTCTAGTTCTAGGATCAATTTTCAGACCGGATATTTGATCCGTTAGTTGAGAAGAATATATAGCACGCTGTCCGGATTAAAAATACATAGATTCCAGAACGGTTAAAGAAATCACCTCGAGCTTTAGAACAAACGATTCCCTGAAGCTTTCAAGTTCCACGAGCAACTTTACAGACTCGACACTCGATCCGTTTAGTCTGGAGAGAAGAATGTACAGGACAGTGTCATTTCCGGAATAAAAATGTAGATTTTTTTTTCAAGTTTAACGGGAGATAACTCCAGGCAATAATTTGTACCATTAAAAAAGACACTGAAATTGTGAGACTAATCCAGATACTCAATTATGACAACAAAAGTCGGACTTGTGTAGAAATTTTCACATATGCCTGGTTTTTATGTTTAAGATATTTAAATTCTGATTAATTATTTAATTACAATTAAACCGCGAATCTAAGGGTCTGATTGATTAAATTTCATCATACGGTCAGTAAATCGTTTGATTAAAGCTGCAATATTTAAACAGGCTCTGAATGTATCACAGTTTGTGATTATAATTTAATTGATATTTACTGTGTCACGAATCCATTTAATTTTAACAGAATTTTTAATACATCACTATATTGGTTTCGAGATCTAGAAGCGGTTCTATAAATGACTCCTGGAGGAACTTCATCATTAAGAAAGTTTTATATTATTTCATGCTTATACATAAGCACTCTTGTAGGATAATCCCAATTAAATGGAATTTGCGAATTAATTAATTAATTAATTAGTACTTGACTAAAATATTACACGGAATTTCAATTAAGCATCGCTAATTAAACTTAAAAACCTTAATTATGTCAAATTAGTCATAATTATACTTAATTATGGTTGAATGCAATTAATTTCACCCAATGATTTCAGAAGAATCTGCACTTATGTTGACCTCTAACCTCAAAATATTGTTACAGAATAAAAAAAAGTGGTTATGATATAGGATTTTGTCTGGGTAATTCTGCTGGTTTATGTCAGAGCTCATAACTCCAGAAAAAAAATATTGATTTATTTTTTGTAGAAGGTGTGAAATAAATAAAGTGAGGAAGGCGAAAAAGATATGTCGTTGTAGTTTTCAACATGCTTTTATGGTTTACAACAATGAATATGAGATTCTTTTGATTGATTGAACCACTGAAAACATCAAAACAGTACAGTATAAATAAGTTTATTTTAACTGACATTTCGTTTGTAAATCAACAAAAGCACATTCGTGTATTAATTAAAAGACAAATATTAAATAATTAATTAAAAATAAGTCGTTAATTATGGATCCCGTAAATTACATGGATGTTGACTTTGAAGGAGAAAAAAGCACACATTTCTGCCTCCGCACTTTTCATGAAAGTTAAATGTCAAGTTGCAAAAACAAAGCTGCAGGAATTTTTAGCTTTCAACGTCGCGGTCAATCTAAATTCAAAACGAGCTTCAGCTATGTGAATCCTTAAGTGTAATTGTTTGTGTTGTGGTTTATAAAGTTTTAAAGACTCATTAAGCTACGAAGTTACGCCAGTCCTAAACCTGCCAATTAAAAACGAATTATGGGATTTTAATATTGATTTCGCACGTTAATTGGCCGAACCCAGTTAAAACGTTGCTCGTAATAAGAACTTTGTTTCCAGGTTTGGATTTTTGGCGACGTCTGGTGTAACATGTGGCTCGCCCTCGACGTGTGGATGTGCACCGCATCCATCCTCAACCTCTGCGCCATTTCTCTCGACCGTTACGTCGCGGTAACACGACCCATCACTTACCCCAGCATCATGTCCCCTTCCCGGGCAAAAATGCTCATCGCCGGACTATGGGTTCTCAGCTTCGTCATTTGTTTTCCGCCCTTGGTGGGCTGGAAAGACAGCGACGTAAGTGTCTATTTACCAACCCCACGTAACTTTCAAATTATAGCAACGACCACAATTGATTGATTAATGTTTGCGTTCGCTACCGAACCGTCAAAATCAAATATCGAAGATTGTCCTATAGCTTCGACCAATATTTACAATGTCGAGTGGTCGTATTTAAAATTCCATTTACGTATTGTTTAGAATAACAATAATGTTGGCAGGTTAAGCCAACAGACTTACGGAACGATTAAGCTGATTCTTTTTTAATTCAGTCGCTTTGTTTTGTTTTATTAAATTTTTGACGTAAGCCATTACTCACTTGTTTATGTTTTTATTACGACGTACGCGTTGAGGAAATTTCTGTTTTGATTGATCGCGAGTGTCAACATTTTGAGCAGGTAATTTCGGTAGTAAAGTGTATTGTTATTACGGGCGTAAAATTTTTGCGTTCAAAAGGGGGCTTTAGCTTGTTATTGGCTTTAAAAGAGGATGTCGTAGTTGTGGATTTACTGCTCGGGAAGTGTGGAGCGACCATGAAATTTTTTAATGAAGTTTGGTACTTTTTTTAAGTTTGAGAGTTTGTAACGGCGGGTTAATGACTACAAGCGGAAATATAAATTGTGAATGTACAGCTGTGGTTTCGAAAAAATTGTATAACACACGTGTACATGCGAAATGAAAAATCGTTAAAACGGGTAGAGGGGGTTGTTTTCAATGTGGATACGTTTATTTAGTTTGTTGGTCGAATGGATTAATATTAAATCAATAATTCGAGATACAATTTTGTTTTTGTTTCTTGGGTTTAGTGTGCGTGGTAAAATGTAAATTTTGCGATTTTATCATACACAAACACAGTAACTATATTTTTGTAAATTTCTGCAAATATTAGACGAGTTTGTTAATTTTACTGAAGCTTTAGGTATCATATCATTGTTTGCTTGATTGAGTGTAAACAGAGAACAATACAGCAAGCGAAGCAATGCAATTATATATTGTTTGTGTATGACCTAATAACTAAGTTTTGAAGTAAACAACTTTTTAATTTAAGTGCTCTCAATTTACAACGAATTAAAATAAATAGATACCACTGTTGGAATTATTAAAGTGAATATTTGTTTCAAATGCGGTGGTTATTATTCGCTCTGATCACAAAGTTCAATTAAGGGAGGGTATCTAAAATTTTAAAGTTTCTTAGTTTCGAGGATTAATTGAAGAAATTGTGCGTATTTGTTTGAAGTTTCACTTTTTATTATTAGGCAAAATAAAGTTTAAGTGCGAATTTACAGATTTGGACTTTTTTTTGGGTGGAATCCAGTTTTTTATTAATTGTCTATGATTATGTTTGTTTTTACTATATCTGCTCAAATAACAGATAAAAGTAAGTTTTTTTACCAATTAATTAGAGTTAGTTTAATTCGTTCGAAAAAGCTCGTTTGTTTTTTTTCAAACTTGAATTTGTCTGGATATTTTGTTCAGAATTGAAGATATTTAAATAAATGCTTCATGATTTATTAAAATATATCATTCTACGTATAAGTTTTTTCGTAATACTTAGAATATATGATTTCAAAATTTTTGTTTTCCCGACGCCTCCACCATTTTTTTTTTCAAAAATTAATGTATACGAAAGAGACTCGAAAAGGGGTTGCTCTTACTAGAAATTTGCTCTAGATCAGAAATCTGTGGCTATTTTTACCACACCTCTTCAAATAACAGATAAAAGTAAGTTTTTACTAATAAATTGGAGCTGATTTAATTAGTTCGAAAAAGCTCGTTTATTTTTCTTCAAACTTGAATTTGCCTGGATATTTTGTTGAGAAACGAAGATACTTAAATAAATGCATCATGATTTATTAAAATATATCATTCTACGTGTAAGTTTTTTCGTAATACTTCGAATATATGATATAAACATTTTTTTTTCCCGGCGCCTCCACAATTTTTGCAAAAATTTAAACTACATGAAAGTCACTCAAAAAGGGGTTGCACTTACTAGAAATTTTCTCAAGATCACAAATTTGTGGTGATTTTTACCACACCTATTCAAATAACAGATAAAAGCTGATTTAATTAGTTCGAAAAAGCTCGTTTATTTTTCTTCAAACTTGAATTTGCCTGGATATTTTGTTCAGAAATGAAGATATTTAAATGAATGCATCATGATTTATTAAAATATATCATTCTACGTATAGGTTTTTTCGTAATACTTCGAATATATGATTTAAAAAATTTTTGTTTTCCCGGCGCCTCCACCATTTTTGCAAAACCTTAAAGTACATGAAAGTCACTCAAAAAGGGGTTGCACTTTCTAGAAATTTTCTCAAGATCACAAATTTGTGGCTATTTTTACCACACTTCTTCAAATAACAGATAAAAGTAAGTTTTTACCAATAAATTGGAGCTGATTTAATTAGTTCGAAAAAGCTCGTTTATTTTTCTTCAAATTTGAATTTCCCTGGATATTTTGTTCAGAAATGAGGATATTTAAATAAATGCATCATGATTTATTACAATATATCATTCTACGTATAAGTTTTTTCATACTACTTCGAATATATGATTTAAAAATTCTTTGTTTTCCCGGCGCCTCCACCATTTTTGCAAAAACGTAAAGTATATGAAAGTCACTCAAAAAGGGATTGCACTTACTAGAAGTTCTCTCAAGATCACAAATTTGTGGCTATTTTTACCAAACCTCTTCAAATAACAGATAAAAGTAAGTTTTTACTAATAAATTGGAGCTGATTTAATTAGTTCGAAAAAGCTCGTTTATTTTTCTTCAAACTTGAATTTGCCTGGATATTTTGTTGAGAAACGAAGATACTTAAATAAATGCATCATGATTTATTAAAATATATCATTCTGCGTGTAAGTTTTTTGTAATACTTCGAATATATGATTTAAAAATTCTTTGTTTTCCTGGCGCCTCCACCATTTTTGCAAAAACGTAAAGTATATGAAAGTCGCTCAAAAAATGGTTGCACTTACTAGAAATTTTCTCATTATCACAAATTTGTGGCTATTTTTACCACACTTCTTCAAATAACAGATAAAAGTAAGTTTTTACCAATAAATTGGAGCTGATTTAATTAGTTCGAAAAAGCTCGTTTATTTTTCTTCAAACTTGAATTTGCCTGAATATTCTGTTCAGAAATGAAGATATTTAAATAAATGCATCATGATTTATTAAAATATATCATTCTGCGTACAAGTTTTTCGTAATACTTCGAATATATGATTTAAAAATTCTTTGTTTTCCCGGCGCCTCCACCATTTTTGCAAAGACTTAAAGTATATGAAAGTCACTCAAAAAGGGGTTGCACTTACTAGAAATTTTCTCAAGATTACAAATTTGTGGCTATTTTTACCACACATTTTCAAATAACGGATAAAAGTAAGTTTTTACCAATAAATTGGAGCTGATTTAATTAGTTCGAAAAAGCTCGTTTATTTTTTCAAACTTCAATTTGCCTGGATATTTGGTTAATAAATAAAAATATTGAAATAAATTCGTCATGATTTATTAAAATATATCATTCTACATATAAGTTTTTTCGTAATTTTTCGAATACATAATTTTAAAATTTTTTGTTTTCCCGGCGCCTCCACAATTTTGGCAAAATTAAAGTTTATGAAGTTGACTCGAAAAGGGGTTGCCCTTACTGGACATTTTCTCAAAATCACAAATCAGTTGTTGTTTTTGCCACACCTACTCAAATAACAGATAAAAGTAAGTTTTTTTACCAATTAATTAGAGTTGCTTTAATTGGTTCTAAAAAGCTCGTTTATTTTTTTTCAAACTTGAATTTGCCTGGATGTTTTGTTCAGAAATGAAAATATTTAAATAAACGCGTTATGATTTATTAAAATATATCATTCTACATATAAGTTTTGTCGTAATTCTTCGAATACATAATTTTAAAATTTTTGTTTTCCCGGCGCCTCCACCATTTTTTGCAAAAATTAAAATATGTGAAGGTCACTCGAAAAGGGTTTGCTCTTACTGGACATTTTCTCAAATCACAAATCAGTGGTTGTTTTTGCCACACCTACTCAAATAACAGATAAAAGTAAGTTTTTTTTAACCAATTAATTAATGTTGGTTTAATTGGTTCGAAAAAGCGGGTTTATTTTTTTTCAAATTTGAATTTGCCTGGATATTTTGTACAGAAATGAAAACATTTAAATAAAGGCATCATAATTTATTAAAATATATCATTCTACGTATAAGTTTTTTCGTTATTCTTCGAGTACATGATTTCAAAATATTTTGTTTTCCCGGCGCCTCCTCCATTTTTTGCAAAAATTAAAGTATATGAAAATGATTCAAAGAGGGGTTTTTCTTACTAGAAATATTCTCAAGATCACAAATTTTTGGTTATATTTGCCACATCTACTCAAATAACAGATAAAATTAAGTTTTTAATCAATAAATTAGAGGTTGTTTAATTGGTTCGGAAAAGTTCATTTATTTTTTTTCAAACTTGATGTGCCTGGAAATTTTGTTTAGACATGAAGATATTTAAATAAATGCGTCATCAATTATTAAAATATATCATTCTACATATAAGTTTTTTCGTAATTCTTCGAATACATGATTTTAAAATTTTTTGTTTTCTCGGCGCCTCCACCATGTTTTTCGAAAATTAAAGTATATGAAAGTCACTCAAAAAGTGATAAGACTTGATATTGTTGTCTTATTTCCGCCCACTTAACCATTATTTTTTTAGAGGATATGTCATTTACCACAATAAGTCTTATCTTAGTAAGTATTAGCCCCGCCCACCCACCCTCTCTTCTTTACAGTGACAACTCTTGATATTGTTCTGTCTTATCTTAGCAAATTTTAGCTCCGCCCGCCTAGCATATATTTTTTTGGAAGATATTGCATTTATCACAGTCAGTCTTATCTTAACAAGTATTAGCCCCACCCACCCACCCTCTCTTCATTTCAGTGAAAACTCTTGATAATTGTTCAGTCTTGTCTTAGCAAATTTTAGCTCCGCTCACCCACTCTT